TCCACCTTAGGGCCCTAGAGAGGCAGGGGAAGAAAATGCAACCATAGGCATGTCCCAACTGCAGTTGTGACCACAAAAGGAAAAAGCCACTGCAGGAATAATGACACAGAGGTAAAAGGGTGTGGGGGTGTGAATTCAACTAAATACAAAGAGAAGAGGCATTCTTTCCTTTGCAGATCACGGGAAGGGACACTTGATCTGGGCCTCGAAAATGGATTTTACCAGAAGGAACAGCACAGCCTGCGGGCGGTTTCTACTCCGAAGGGGCAAAGGTTGAGTTCGATGGGGCGTTGGGAGGGAGGAACTGATAAGGCGTCCAGCCAGAGAACCTTGGACGTGGAAACGTGCCTGAGATTTAAAAGGCAAAGAATATGAGCCCGAAACTGCCAACACAGGGCCACGGAGCGAAGAAAGGGGCCCAAGGCCTCACCTCAACCACAGGCAGCACCGGAACCACGGGGCCCTGCCCGGGAGGGTCCGACCAAGCCTTGCTCAGCGCGCCGTTCTTGCTCTTCGCTTACAGACTAATAACAGGCTCTGAAAGCACCAAAACGGCCCCTCGCAGGAGTCGCTAAAACCTGGCACCCACCCCAGCACGGGAAGGGACGCTTGATCTGGGCCTCGAAAATGGATTTTACCGGAAGGAACCACATCAGCAACAGCACAGGCTGTGGGCGGTTTCTACTCCCAAGGGGCAAAGGTTGAGTTCGATGGGGCGTTGGGAGGGAGGAACTGATAAGGCGTCCAGCCAGAGAACCTTGGACGTGGAAACGTGCCTGAGATTTAAAAGGCAAAGAATATGAGCCCGAAACTGCCAACACAGGGCCACGGAGCGAAGAAAGGGGCCCAAGGCCTCACCTCAACCACAGGCAGCACCGGAACCACGGGGCCCTGCCCGGGAGGGTCCGACCAAGCCTTGCTCAGCGCGCCGTTCTTGCTCTTCGCTTACAGACTAATAACAGGCTCTGAAAGCACCAAAACGGCCCCTCGCAGGAGTCGCTAAAACCTGGCACCCACCCCAGTGTGGGCTCCGGAGCGACGAGGATGGGATTCGAACCCACGCGTGCAGAGCACAATGGATTAGCAGTCCATCGCCTTAACCACTCGGCCACCTCGTCCGCTGCGTGGGGAAGCTTCGGTAAATTTTACATTTCTTCATTCAATTGACTTGCTCGGGACTTTCTCTTACTTTATCGCACGTCTTCATTCATGAACATGATGCGTTTGTTCGCCTGGATGTCCCTTTCAACCACCGGCAGCACCGGAGCCACGGGGCCCTGCCCGGGAGGGCCCGACCGAGCGCTCAGCGCGCAGTTCTTGCTCTTCGCTTACAGACTAATAACAGGCTCTGAAAGCACTAAAACGGCCCCTCGCAGGGCTCGCTAAAACCTGGCACCCACCACAGAGTGGGCTCCGGAGCGACGAGGATGGGATTCGAACCCACGCGTGCAGAGCACAATGGATTAGCAGTCCATCGCCTTAACCACTCGGCCACCTCGTCCGCTGCGTGGGGAAGCTTCGGTAAATTTTACATTTCTTCATTCAATTGACTTGCTCGGGACTTTCTCTTACTTTATCGCACGTCTTCATTCATGAACATGATGCGTTTGTTCGCCTGGATGTCCCTCTTGCTTTGATAAAGGAAAAAAAATAGAGAAGAGCCTACAGGCCCGAAATGGAGGGTCAGGGTGAGGACGTGAACCTGAGTAAAAACGACAAAATACACTTCCAAAGAGAAGTGTGGAGCCTGAAAGAGCCGGGCTCACAGAGACACCGAGCGGGATGGCGGCTATAAGGGACTTGCTGCGGGTGGGAAGCTGCGGGGACGTGGGCCAAAGAAGGCAAAACTTACTGTGAGGAGGAGTCCGTTCTGGGGAGGCACCGCACACCGGTCATGAGCAACGGCGCTGCATTACACACTTTCAGTTGCTAGGAGACTGTATCTTAAATGTTCTCGCCACAAAAAAAGAAATAATTATGGGATGTGGTGGAACGGACTGTGGCGATCACACTGCAATGCACAAACGTATCAAATCAAGACGTTGCACAGTTGAACTTACACAATGTTGTCTATCAGTTACATCTCCTTGTTCTACAGTCCCTGTGGCATCGGCCCGATGTTGGGTGATTTGGGGAGGGTGCCAGGAACCCCGGCTGTGTTCGGGGCTGGATGCTGTGAGGAATCCTGTGCTGAGACGGAGGTAAGAACATAACGAGGCCAAAGCTGTGACGCTCGTGGGCCCTCGGATCCGGTGGAAGCAGGTGCTTGGCGTCGGCGTGGTTGGCACGGTGAGCTCTTCCTGTCTGCTCTTCGCGAGACTGTAGCACGTTTTGTTGTGTGTTTGCTGTTCCCTCTCCTGTCGTTGGGCTCAGAGGATGAACGCCCTTGTCGATGCCCCGTTCTGTGAGCCTGTTTTGTTCAGCAGAAGGATCCCCGGGCCGAGCAATATTAGCCGCCAGAGGAGGCCGCGAGGCACTGAGTGTTGACGGGCGTGGGGGGCGCGAAGTTCAAGTGTAAGGGCGGGTCTTCACAGGCCGGAGTGCACCCTGGGTTTGGGAACTCCATGTGCAGAGGCCAGGAAAAAAGACAGCGGTAGGTGGGCAGCAGGCCCCACCGAGATTTGAACTCGGATCACTGGATTCAAAGTCCAGAGTGCTAACCATTACACCATGGGGCCACACAAGGACGCTCTGAAACTCCTATAAATATTTCTTACACAGTTTGCCATTCTTACTATTTTGTGAATTATAGCTTTAGTTTAAAACATACTTAATTAAATTTAAAATCTGCTACATCACGCTCAGCAGAGACTACAAAATGCACAGGAAGACCTGGGCTCACACGCACCGCGAACTTCTCAGGATCGAGTGCGTGTTAGAGATGGATAGAACCGAACCCAGAACTGAGGTCCCAGATGTGAAACGCGAATGCTTAGACATCTTGAAGAAAACCTAATTTCCCAAGATCTGAAGGGGACTCTGGCCCCGTGAAGGCGGAGGGACAGGAGAAGGCGGGTGGGGAAGCCAGAAGAAGATCAGAGGGCCAAGGAAGGCACCAAAAACACAGAAGGTCCCACCGAGACTTGAACTCGGATCGCTGGATTCAAAGTCCAGAGTGCTAACCATTACACCATGGGGCCAGCCGGCTCCACGGGCCCAACTGCCACAACCTCTCTGGCAAGCTTTCCCAAAGGCGTTGGCTGTGCGTCCGGTGACGTTCAATAGGTGACTTCTTTCCTGAACGTTCCGTGGGTCCTGGGGGAAAAGGCGAAGCCAAGCAGAGCTCACTTTTGCTTGGAATTTTCCTGCCGTAACAGCGCTCTTTACAAAATCAAAACTGTGTATTTCTGGGCAATTTCAGAGATTACGAAAAAACTTTTCCCTCTTTAAGTATTTTTACTTCCTTTCTGCCTTTCCTAATAGACAGAATGCAAGTATAATAAAAGATAATTTTTGTTATGTTTACTCTTTTCTATGTTATATATACAATTAAGTGTATGCATTAGAAAGAGTTAGCAAGCACAACGATTTTTAATAAAAAAAAAATAAGATTTAGCTGAAAGCAGCTTTGAAAATTATCTTTCTGGGACTTCCTCTCTAGTTCTGGCCTCTGAGGTGGAACGATAAGAGAGCTCCAGAAGGAGGAACGATTGGAAAATTCTTTTTGAAATGTTTCCTAATCATCAAACATGTTCACAGGAGAATTCTGATGCACTGGCGTGCCCACATTTGGGGGAAGAAAATCAAGTGGAAGAAGTTACAGGCAGGCGAGGTTTCAGCAGTCAGACCTGAGGTGGACTGCCAGTAGGGAGATAGCAATTCATAGAGAATTAGAGCCGGGCGTCTTCAGGGTGCAGGCTCAGAAATCCCTATGTAACCCCACAATCATTGTCAAAGATTTGTCGCTAGCGACTGTCCCACTAAGAGACTCGTACTACCTGCTTCCAGTGTTACGGAAAAATAAAACAATAACCAGGAAAACGGTGCTTCGTGTTATTTTATTGTGAGTTTGAATTTCCAGAGGTGGTCCAGGAGATGATGCGGTTCTGGGGAAGAAAAGCTCGGCTGCGTAGTCGGCAGGATTCGAACCTGCGCGGGGAGACCCCAATGGATTTCAAGTCCATCGCCTTAACCACTCGGCCACGACTACAAGACTCCAGCCAGCGCCTAGATAATTCCCATGAGGAATATTACCTCTCCTGTTCTAAATTGGAGTTTCTGTTCGGCACCTGTTTTGAAATGTCTGTCAGCATGGTAAAAATAAGACTGGGAAGATCGAGATGTCGATCATAAATTATTACAAATTGTACAGTTTGACTATGGGATACACATTCCGATCTGTACCAGGTGTACATATCCCCAAACCTGAGTTACTGAAATCGCCAGAATTGCCAGACCAATGACTAGCATTTACTGAAATTGGAGACCGGAAACAGCAGACCTGCAGGACTGTCCCCAGGCCCTACCTGATAGTCCATGATAAACTGATTCAATCCCCTTTCCTAAAATCTAAATTTGTATCAAAAACACAAGTCTAGATAGCAGAGGATGGTTTCGATCCATCGACCTCTGGGTTATGGGCCCAGCACGCTTCCGCTGCGCCACTCTGCTGAGACACGCCTGACACTCTATCAAGTGATATTAAAAAAGAAGTTCTGGCATTTTCCTAGCTTCTAGTAATTGGTGAATATTTTGGCTGCCAATAAGAATGGAAAGAGTACACTGTACGTGGCTACACTCCAACTCCAAATACCAGCGGTTCAGTCCCAGCTGATACAGATTATTATATTAGTCCCGATAAATCTCGCAGCCTTCATATTTTTTTGGCTCTGCAGTGAGATGTTGCCCTGCAGTAATGGGAAGGAAAAAACACGAGTTGCATTGGCCGGGAATCGAACCCGGGCCTCCCGCGTGGCAGGCGAGAATTCTACCACTGAACCACCAATGCCCCACAGGTTTGGGGATCTCTCTTTGTCCTTATGTAGACATCGTTACATTGTTACATTAAAACAAGAAGATTGCGTGTTTTTTCCG